TGATTCCATATTCAAAAGATATTCCTGCTCATAAATAAGTAGGTGCTGTGGACAGCATCATCGTGCATAAACAAGTCACACTTACGCGCGGCAAGACAACCAATTTCATATGTCCATCACCTAGCGCTAACGTGAGGAGTGGGCTAACTCACCAGGGTTCGGGAGTGTTTCCACTTGGTCAACATGTTCAAGATTCGGAGCAGATTGATGCAAGAGAACATATTGCGCCAGCAGCAAGGGGACCAATCACTGCTCTAGAGACGCGTGAAGATTCACTGTCAGTTAACAGTTTAGTAAACTACTAAATCAGCCCTTGCCTCCCCTGATTACTCCGCGACCCAAACACCCGCTATTCATGGAGGGACAACGTAGAAAGCATCCTTTATACACCAATTCCAAAATTACCATCCCTTCACAGAGGTGTGGAGAGAAACAAATTTGCACCTTACCACATTTTAGCGTATTGTGAAGTGAAAGGGACGCTTTTGGACCAGTCAAAGTAACGAGTGAGTTGTTCGCTAAACCCTCACTGAACTTTAAGCAAAATAGTAAAATGAGATGTAAAGCTAATAATGAGAACAAACTGGAGCTTAAAAGTCCTCTGCATTGCAACCGCTCCACTATCAAGCAGTTATCATGCATTAAGGTATTAAAAGTTGATTGTCTAGTAACAACTATCAGAATTCGATGTCATTACGAAACAAACACTTACTAGCATTTCGGGCGTTAACTGTGGAACTTCTCCAATGACACGAGCAGGGAAATCCAAACAGGAGATACTAAATGCCCCATGAAACGCAAGCTTCGAGCACATACCTATTTTTAGCCTGTACGTAGAGTAGAGTATTCTGGTTGAAGAATTTCAGGACCAATGGGATGCAATTAGCGACGACAAGAAGCTGTGAGATGTATTCAAATTGGTAAATGTGATTCAACTTGAAGTGCTTAAGCAGTAGCAGCAGGAGACCCGAGATGGCCTTCACAATGATTTCGCGGTGCCGGTTGACATCGTAATTCATTATCAAAGTCTGCAACTGGTTGTCTCTATAAGAGAGGAAGGGAGTTAGATTAAAGGCGAACTTACGGCGCGTCAGGAGGAGTTATTTCGGCTAAGATATTGATGGGCTCAGTTTTTGTGCGTGAGGTGGGTGCGGAAGCCAGCAGAACCTTGAGTATTGCGATCTAGAAACAGGAGGAAAGGAGACAGTCAAATCGCTTTGAGACCATCCATGTGATTAATGCACTCGACGCACTAAATGAAGGTGACAGAATAGACAATTTCAGAAAGATTCACTCACCATGTACTGAGGCAAAAGGGGAAGCATTGCAACGTACAAGCGCTCTGTTGGAGTATCAGGTATATTTTCTTTTCCCTT